AAATATTGGACATTTACACAGCAATTTGACAAGGCAAAATACTTACAAAAACTCGTAAGACACTGGGCCTCCCTGGTGGTGCAAGGGGTTAAGATGCAACCTATGAAGCTCTCCACAGCCGCAGCCACTGCAGCACACCCAGGGGGGTGCCCACATGGCTCAGCAGACCCCTCCTGACTCACCTGCCCACTGCTCCCCTCAGCAGTGTACTTCAGTCAATCTGCCTTTTCTGTTCCCCATTCTGTCTCTGGTGAATCCCCTCACCCCCACACCTCTGGTCTGTACCTTCTTGTATGCATGAATAAATAAATCTTTTTAAAAAAACCAAACTAGTAGACACTAATAAATGAAATGAGGTTTCTGAGGTTAAGAGAGGGTGAGTATGGTCAAAGAGGTATAAGACATGTGGGGGGCGGAGAAAGGGGAGAAATGCATGCTATACTTTCCTAATAGTGATGTGAAATTCATGAACAAACAATGCGCTACAAAGCAATTTCTATAGACTATGACTTGTGAAATATTACAAAATGGAAATTTCCAATGGAAAGAGCTCTCTAAGTTGATTTAATTTGACAATGTTTTAAGTAATGATTATCCTTAGAATATTAACAATTGCCCATTAAGTAGGAATCAAAAAGAGAAAAGGCCTCTTATTCTTTTAAAAAAATGTACTGGAGTGAGATTTCTTAATTTCTCTTTTATAAAAAATATTATGGGCAGATGGATTATAAAATCCAAGCCACATTACAGATTAATTAAATCAGAATCATTGAAAAAGGAACCATAAGTTGGTAACTTTAAAAAGGACACACGTACAAGAATAAAATAAAAATTAGAAAAAAATATTTAAAACCAACTTCAAATTTTGTCTTCGCATCCATAACCTCATCTTTAAACAGGTGCAGATACAAGAATTTTAAGATTTTTATGTACCACTGGGACAAACTCTTAATTATGAGGTACATACCTTAGTACAATCTTAAAAAATAAACTTGCTTTCCTTCTGGACTTATTGATGGTTTAGGTTACAACTTACATTGGGGTCCGCAGATCAAGCAAGTCATTTCCCAGGAGCTATGCCGCCCCATTCCTATGCAAAACACCAGGAAATCACAGCTAAGAACATCCAGAGTGGTCCCACATCAATAGTTCCACCAGTTGATACAGGGATTATAATTATTGTAAACATCTTGGGATAAATATAGAAATCAGGCTGGACCACTCCAACTGCCACATAGGACTTTGACATTTACTAATGATGAAAGACTCTTTACATAGGAACAGCACCTTGGCTAACCTCCAGTTTGACAATCTGCCTCTACATATTAAAATTCTCAATATTTTATTTTTCATCAATCAAATAATTCTTGAAAAACTACCAAATGTTCCACACTACAATGGTTGATTTCAGTGACTGTTTGCCAAGAACTTAATAAAACAAATTTAGCAGCTAATTCTGAAAGAGGGCTTAGTGAACACAATGGATTACTATACCCTAGAACAGAGAAATAATAAATTGCACTGCACAAATTTCAAAACAGAATTTAAGTCATACTTCTTTCACTTAGTATTTAAGACAATTATGGCACTTGGCATTCAATCTCCATATTAAGTAGTTCCTGTATGTGGAAACAGTACATAAATGATTTAATACAGAGGGTAAAATGCAACTGACAAATAAGAATTTAGCCATTTCAAGGAGATTCTGGGAATTTAGAGAACATGATATGGACTCCCCCTGCTGGTGCCTAATAGCAGCAGCTCCATGACACTAAGAAAATCAGTGACAACAACAAAGCCAAAAGACTAATTTAAATTTACCTCTATTTAGATTAGGGGATGTTGTGAATTTGACTATGTGTCAATCAACAGCAACACTAAAAAAGGTTACATTGGATTGCAATTGCTTAAAAAAAAGCAACCCACAAATTGTAAATCTCAACTATTTGTGCTATTTTCATTCAGACCGCATTGTGGGATTTTTCTTTCCAAAGTAGACTTCTCTTAATTTTTGTTTTGGTTCAAATTATTTTCCATCTGAGCCCTTATAATTTGCTGAAAATAAAAGACCATAAGGAAATAATGACTTGTGACTAGTCCACAGAGCACACAACTCGCGCATGATTATTTGAGAGAAGAGAACAGCCAGCAAAGTTGTCGCCATAGCTAGCATTTTACAATTCTACATTTCTGTAAAACTCATGTAATCTTTAGTTTGTCCTAAGTGCAACTAATACTAAGCAGGTTCAGTGGGCTTCCAACTTTTGGTTAAACTAATCCTGCTGGGAATATAATTATAAATTCTGACAAAGTATTAAAAATTCATTATTTGAAGACATTACACTGACAAAATCAGGCAGAAACTGCAACTGATGAGATTTGGGAATTTCTGGCCTCTGCCTGAAGCACTCCCTGGTCCACACACAGCCTGGGGGGAGCCCAGTAATAAAGTAGTAGTCAGAAACTGAGAAGACTAAGCAGGTGATACCCATCACAAAGAAGACAAGAGTCTGAAGTCTAAGGTAAACCAAGCTGTCTGCTAGGGGGAAAAAATAACATTTCAGAGAAAAACAATAGAATCCAAATTCTTCATAATGTATTAGTCATGATTTTTAGTATCCAATAACAAACCACTAATTATAGTAAGAAAAAGGAAAATGTGACCCATACTAAAAAAAAAAATTCAGTCAATAGGAAACTAACTTCAAGATGATCCAGATGATCCAATTAGCAGTCAAGGACTTAAAAATCTGCTATTATAAGATGTTCAAGGACTTAAGGAAAAACAGATACATAATAAGTAAAAGGAGCATCTTAGGAGAAAAACAACTAATTTCAAATGGAAATTCTACAGCTGTCAATGGAAATAAAATGCTTGCTGGACTGAAATATTAGTAGATTGGATATGCAGAGCAATTATGAAACAAAGTTATAGCATTAGAAATTATTCAGTCTGAAGATCATAGTAAAAATACTGAAGAAAAATAAGCAGAACTTGGATATCTGTGTGACAATATCAAGAATCTCACATCAAGTATCTAATATATGTACTTGCAATCTCTGAAGAAAAGGAAAGTCCAGATCAAAAAAATAGGAGTAACTGATGAAAATGTCCCAAACTTGGTAAAAGATACCAATTTACAGATACAAAAAGCTCAACAAACCTGAAAACCACCCCAGATATATCACAGCCAAACTACTAAAATAAAAAGACAGAGAAAACTTGAAAAGTATTCTGGGAAAAACAACACATTGCACATCAGAAACAAGCAATAGCAATGAGAAAGTGAAAAAAGAAAGAGGAGTAAATATTTGCAAAATATTTATGCGACAAGAGACATCCAGACTAAAAAAAAAAAGCCCAAATTAATAAAATTAACCCAATTTTTAAAAAATGAGCAAAAGATTTGAGTAAGTATTCCACCATGGAAGATTTATAATTGCCACTAAGTACATTTTTAGAAAATGCTCAAAAAATAAATTTTAAAAGTGCTCAGCATTCTTCCTCAGAGAAATGCAACAATACAATGAGATGTCATTTCATACCCTCCAAAATGGCTAAAATTAAAAAGACTGACAAATGTTCATTCATTTCTAGAGAGAACATGAAATGGTGCAACCACTTTGGAAAAAGGTTGGGCCTTTTTTTCATACACTCAGCTGCTCCATCCCTTTACATTTTCCAACAGAAAGATAAACATTCATCTGCCAAAACATTTAATTATAAACAAATGCTCACACCAGCTTTATTCAAAACAGCCCCAAATGAGGCTAATCCCAGAGTCCCCAAACAGAAGTATGAATGAACAAATTGTGGAAAATTCACATGAACACTATTCTGCAATAAAAAGGAATAGACTACTGAAACACAGCATCACATGGTCTCAGTACAGTGAGTGAAAGAAGACACCCCAAGTTTCATGACTCCACTTAAATGAAATTTAAGAGAAGACAAAACTAAGGTTTAAAAGAAAAGTCAGGACTAATCAGAAGGGAGATGAGTGATACAAAAATGTGATGGGTCAAACGAGTTCAGACTTTTTATGGAAAGGAGACAAAGACTTTGGAATTTGAATCTTTACGGAGATGAAATTTTACTTTCACAAAACTCACTTTAAAAAAAAAAAAAAAAAGATTTATTTATTGGGCCTCCCCTGGTGGCACAGCTGTTGAGCGCTGGGCTGCGGTTGAGCGCTGAGCTGCGAGGCTGCCCGCAGCCTCTTCAGTGCCGGTTTGTTCCCCGGCCGCCGGAGAGGGTACCCCCCACACACACAAACACACAAGATTGATTTATTTATTTATATAAGCACTGGGTACAGTCAGAAGTGCGGGAGGATGAGAGAATTCACCAGAGCCAGAGCGGGGAGCAGAGCAGGCAGAAGGACCGAAGTACACTGCTGAGGGGTGCAGCGGGCGGCAGGAGAGGTCTGTGCGCCATGTGCGACCCTCTAGCAGCGGCCAGGGATCTAACGGGCACTGCAAAGGCTGCGGGCAGCTTCGCAGCCTAGCGCTCAACTGCTGCGCCACCAGGGAGGCCCACAAAACTCACTTTTAAGTAAAAACTCTTAAGATATATCTAGTTGATTTGCTGTAGAGAGTTCTTAACAAAGGTGAAATCTGTATAAAGGTTTTTAGGAACATTGAAAAGGCCCGAGAATTGCCTGATGAAACTATTCTTTAAAAAGTGGTTCTGACCTCAAGTAAAAGAGCAAGAGAACACAGACACTGGAGAAAAATATAATGTTTAGAATGTGAATAACCTTAACACAGGTTAAAACACAGGATTAGTACCTATTAAGGACAAGACATCGTTAACACAATGCTGGATGTGCTTCAAATATAGGGTTTTATTTTGCTATTTCTTTTTCATACTGGCTACAGTAACTGGCCTATGCTAAATTTTCTCTTTAAAAATGCTTTTACTAGAGGACAAGGGAAAAATATGTTTACTATATGGGACAAAAGTTACTAGCAATATAAGAACCTCCAGCATGTATTACCTTGTCCTGAAGAGTTTGCTGCCATTTTCCTATTTTCTGTTTCAACTGTGTTCAGTGGTAATTGGTCAGCGCTTTGCAATCGCCTGTAAAAAAGGTGTATGCACATATAAAACGCACCATTCTTTAATAACAAATTAAAATCTAGCTTCCCTACAAGGAAACGTTTGCAGTTTATCTCTTCAGAAGCATATCTCTGAAAAGCCCAGACTTAAATAACAAATTTAAACTCTGCGGGTGCCCCAAGTTTTTAATTAGAGCATGAAGGCTGTTTATACTTGCAGCTGTTAATATCGCATTTAGCATTACAGTCTTTAACAAACATCATTAGGTTGTATTTACCAGATACTATGAAATGTATCCACCAACCGATAACATCAATACAAGCACACGGCTAGGAAGAAAACCCACTCATCTGTAGTGCCTCTCAATTCACTGAAAAAACATACTCAGCAACTACTGGATACACTGAAAGCTAAACAGGAAAACGAGTCTGATCTTTATCGTGCACCCACGCTGCACCATAGACTGCAGGAAGGTGTTTGAACTTAGTTAATTAATCTCAATGTTACAGATGAGAAGCTCGTGGCCAAGGTCTCAAAGCTAGTAACAATAGTTTGGGCTGTTTCCAAACTTCGTGCTTTTGTATTAGGCCTGCAAGCGGCAATCCCAAATGAGTAAGATCTGACTCCTGCCCTCAAGGAACAGAGAATCTGGTGGGAAAACAGAGTCTCTTTCAAGTAACTAGCCTTAAAAAAAAAAAAAAAAAAGGTTCAAAAACCGCGCTCTTTAAAAGGCGTCCACAGTGCTCCGGAAGCAGAGAGGAAATGAGCCTACCAGCGCGAGGAGGGGTGCCCTCGGGGGAGCCCCGGGAAGGAGAGGCTAGCAAGCCCAGATTGATTTTGGACAAAACGTCTTGAGGTGTCCCCTGCAGCTGAAGCACAGGGGGAGCCAGCCCGGCTGGAGCGGGAGGGCAGAGGGGCGTCTGCAGAAGGGGCAGGCTATGCAGGAATGTGACAGCACCGGACCGGGGCCCCAGAAGCGTCCCAGCGGGCCGGCGGGGAGGGCCGGCCGGGCGGGGGCTGCGGCCAAGGCGAAGGCGCGGAGGGGATGAGAAACACCGGGAGGCAGGGGAGGCGAGGAGGCCGGCGCCGGTGGCAACAAAGACGGCGGCAGCAGGGCAGCGCCCGGCCAGGGGCCGTCACCCCAGTGCACCGGCCTGTCCTACTTACCAGGGACGCGAGAGCGCCCGGGACCGCCTCGCCGTCCGATCGCGCTCTCAAAGGGGGCGCGACCACTTAGAGAACAGCAAACCCAACCCAACGTGCAGCTCTACAACCTTCCCGCCCCCGCCGCGCTTCCGCCTCCTGATTGATGTACAGCCGAAGAGCGGAAGTCCCGCCCCCAGCCTGGACCCGGGGCCGGTGCCCACCGCGATTCGTGCTTTAATTGCCACCTCAATGCGGACACCACTTCCCTGTCCAAGAGTGGCAGCCCAAGAGGCTCATGGGAGATGCAGGCTGCGCTCTTGGGGCGGGGCTAAGTGGGCGGGGCAGGGGCGGGGCGTAGTGACGTGCTCTGTGGAATTGGCTAAATAGGGGAGGGGCCCTATTTAACCTAACCGGGCCCCTAGCACCGTGCAGGCAGCTTTGCCCGCAGGAGAAAAGGCAGGAGGAGAACAGGCACCGGTGCCCCAGGTCCTGGGACGCTGTAAATCCACTTCGACTGTGACTGAGGCCCAGCTGCCGCCGAGACTTGGAGGCGTCTTTATTTTCTGGGTTCGCGTTCATATTTCCTTTTTAAAAAATACGTTTTTATTGAAGTAACACTGGTTTTATAACATTATATACATATACCTCTTTAAAATATTCCAAGCTGTCTTGGGTTGCGTGTCCACATTCGCAAATCCCAGAAGCGTTTTTCTTTTGTACATAAGAAAAATCACTAAATATGTAGAAATTTTCACTAGTGTGCAATCTGTGCTTAAGATGCCCCTAGTGGGAACACCTGAAGCCTAACCCCAGCCCAAAAGGCTTGCATATTTACTTTGAAAGTAGCTGTATTGATGTGTTACCTGTTCTGTGAGCCTTCATCCCCGTTATGCATCTTTTCTAGAATTTGAACAGATGTTCTTAATTATGTTTGCTTAATGATAAATGTTTATGATGCACAGTTTTGTTGTATGTGGATCCATGATTGAAACAAATCCATAAAGCATTATTGAGTAACTTCTTTGTACTATGTGCTTCCTGTGCATCAACTTCGGCCCTGTCATTCCTGGATAGGAGACTCAGAAATGTTGAGTTACTCTATGTGAAATAATGAGTTGCATTTTAAAGGCCTAAGGCTCATGTTCTTAAATCTCACACATTATCTCTACCCAGGCGGAAGGAATTCCTCTGAGACCTGCTTTAATCTAGATATGAAGTGCAACACATCAGCACTTTGGTAACTGGCCAGGTTTGCTTTTCATTTAAGAGGACGTTTTGAGTCCTGGTGTGACTAAATAGATGCCTTAGATGTTCTGCCTTTGTATTACCTGATCTGACAACACAGAAATTGAGAGACGATAGTGCCAGTTTAAGTCCTAAATGGACATTCTGAACAAAGCTTATTTAGGAAAAAAAAAGTTCTACCCCCAGAACAACATTTTATAATTTCCTGGCACGTTCAGCCTCGTATGGTTGGTAGAACATTTTCAAAAGAAAGTTAAATTTAAGCTGTTGATGATTCTTTTTGCCATTTACTTGGTGGGTTTTAGCCTTTAAACCCTTCTAATTTCTCCAGGAGAGGTTTGGAATGTCTATCTCACAAGAATTTTAACATATTGGTTAATAGTGGCCTAGTTTCGTTGGCTTCAGATCTTAGCTCTGATACTTAATGATTGTGAGGGCTACTTTTCTGTCATTTATAAAAAGGAAATAAAAATTAAATGAGTGACCATACCATTGGATAGCTATTATTAAAATATTAATTATTAATTAATTAATTAAAATAACAAGTGTTGATAGAGAAATAGGAACCCTTGTGCACTGTTGGTGTAAATATAAAATGGCACAGTCACTGAAACACAGTATGACTTTACTCCAAAAATTAAAAACAGAATTACTATATGATCTAGCAATTTCACTTCTGAGTATATGCACAAAATAATTGAAAGAAGGGCCACAAAGAGATATCCGTATACTTATAGTTAAAGCAGCATTGCTTATAATAGCCAAGAGGTAGAAGAAACCCAAGTGTCCATTGATGGATGACTGGATGAACAAAAGGCAGCATGTCCATATGAAAGAATGTTATTATTCAGCCTTAAAAAAAAAACAAACTTCTGACATGCTAGAGCATTCTTGAAACTTGAGGATAGTATGCTAAGTGATATAAACCAGTCTCAGAAACACAAATACTGTGTGATTCCACTTACACGAGACACTTAAAATTGTTAAAATCATAGAGACAGAAAGTAGGATGGAGGTTGCCAGGGACTGAAGATTAGGGGAGAATGGAAGATTGTGTAATGGGTGTGGAGCTTCAGTTGCTCAAGATAAAAAGAGTTCTGGGAATGATGGTGGTGATGGTAGCAATGATGAAAGATTTGTGTTTGGTTGGTTATTGTGGTCAGTAGGTCTACTGAGAAATATATAGGTCCTACGTATTTAGTTGGGGAAAGTCAAGGCAAAAGGAATGCATGCTACAGTCCCGTGGTTCTGTTAACTGATAAGGAAATGCCAGGTAGCAGTCAGTGAAGTGATTCATCCTGAAGCCATGATGATGATTAGAGGCCTAAAGTAGGTCAAAGTAGAGAGTTAAGAATAGTCCGCAGTTTCAGTGGGACCACACTATCCCTCTTTTGCTCTTTTGTGATGAAATAGTGATGGAAAATGCATTAGGCTAGACAGCCTTTAAAATCAAGTGTGCAAGGGCCTCCCCGCAGCCTCTGCAACGCCAGTTCGTTCCCCGGCTGCCAGTGAGGGTCCGACAAAAAAAAAAAAAAAAAAAAAAATCAAGTGTGCAAAAGATTGAAATCATTACTGTATTCCTTAGCTATTGCTTATAACAAATTACCACCAAACTCAGTCATTTAAAACAACATGTTTATTCTTGGACCAGGAAAATGAATAACTATAAGAAAGTGAAAATCAAAATCAACAAAAAACTATGAACCAGAGACACTCTATGGGGGATGGGAGGTGGGGAGGGAGGGATTGGGGTCAAAATAAGGGGGTTGCAATTGTATGGGGAATATAAAAATAAAATTTATTTTAAAATAAATAAATAAATAAATCCTTAAAAAAATAAATTTTGTTTCCAGAAAAAAAAAACAAAAAACAAAAAAAATGTTTATTCTCTTAGTGTACAGCCAAGGAAGGACCTATGGGCCCCAAATTGCTAAACGGTGCATGCTCTGAGATGGGTCTGGCTAGCTGTACACAAAGGAAAAATAAGTGAATGAATGAATGAATGAATAAATAAATAAAGCATACTCTTAGTGTGAAAGATTTTTAATAGAATGGGTATACATAGAGAAGAAACGATTTCAGCAAATTCTGGTTCTGCTGCTTACTAAGCAAATACTTAGAAAAGTTACTTAATGCTGTTAGCCTTCCATTTCCTCATCTGAGGAATGGATGATGAAAGCACCCCAACAATGATAGGTATGATTGGACACAGAGCATTTTCCACTTTATAGGGACGCTACCCTTGAAAGAGAGTGAGTTTCTGTAGGTCAGGAAGTAGACGGATACTTCAGTGGTCTAGTTAAAGGGAAGTTTCTTACCATGGAATGAAACCTCTAAAAATTTGAGAGGACATTGGGATCTCTTATTGAATCTTTACCATGTGGCATGACTCTGTATACATTGTCTCAAGATCAAGCTTTGAGAAGATACAATGATTACCTTCCTATTGATATTTTAAACATATGAAGGGACCTCCCTGGTGGCGCAAGGAGTTAGCAACCTATGAAGCTATCCACAGCCACTGCAGCACGAGTTCGATCCCTGCCAGGGACCTACCCACATGGTGCTGCAGACCTCTCCTCTCTTGCCTGCTTCTCCCCTCAGCAGTGTATTTCATTCAATCTGCCTGTTCTGTTCCCCACTCTGTCTCTGGTGAATCTTCTCACCCCCCACACTTCTGGCCTGTACCTCAGTTCTTGTATGTATAAATAAATAGATCTTTTTTTTTAAAAAGTAAACATATGGAGACATTGAAACTTTGAGATATGAACTAACTGGTCCAAGATGTCACCATTTTTTGGTTTGCCCCAGTGAGCTAAATCACCAGTTGAAGCTACCCCGTGTGTTAAATAACCATGGTCAACGGCAAGAAAGTTGGCATGGTCACATGCTGCCAGCTGTTGCAGATTGAGGCCCTGGGTAGAGAACTTTCTAGTCTGCAACTGACTGGTCAAGTCTTTGCGCAGACAGCAAAGCATTGGGTCACTCTGCCTCTTGCCCCATGGAGGGAGGGGAAAAGGTACCTCCTCAGTTGGGGTGGGAAGAGCAGATGAGGGTTCAATTGGAAATGTTTTATTTAACAGATTGACTTTAAAGAGTTTTCTTTTGGTACCAGCTTGTCCTTTTAATTGGATTGAACCCTGATGTTTTCAGTGGGATATTTTGAGGATTCACTAAATTGTATAAATTCCTTAGGATTCATGTCATCTGCTTCCAATTTGGCTACCTCTTGAGAGCCAGCTTCCAGCATCCTCAAAGTGCCTAGAAGCATGCTCACCTATTGATGATTTTTAATTTAAATGCAATTAAAGCTTAAGCATGCCCCTTTAATCATCTATTCAATAAAAATGAAAATACAAATGGAATGACTTGTCCTTATCTAAAAGATGCCTTGAGTGTGCAGTCCAGAATCCCCATTTTGCTTTTCTACTGTTTTAAAAGCTGATCTAATCCTTTAGTCAAATAATGCTTTGTGGGTTCTCACTGTTTATGGCTAACATGCCCTTCAGCATTACTGCTCTTTGAAAGTTCAGGGTGTTTGCTCTTTTTAAACTATAGCACTAACACTGTTAACAGCTCCTCCAGGCTTGATGACTTTTTTTTTTTAAAGACAGCATTTATACAAAGCCTTTAATTTTTTAAAATATTTATTTTATAGAAGAACTGGGGTGTAGGGCAAAGGGGCAGGAGGTGAGAGGATTCACCAGAGACATAGTGGGGAACAGAAGAGGCGGCTCTACTGAAATATGCTACTGAGGGGAAAAGCGGGCATGACAGAAGAGGTCTTCTGTGCCATATGGGCAGCTCCCTGGCTGGGGATTGAACTCAGGCTGCTAGGTGGCGGTGGTGATGATAGAGGTAATAGGGCTGAGACTTTACCCCTAGGCCACCAGGGAGGCCCCCAGGATTGATGACATT